GCTCGCCAGTATTATTCACTGGTACAATCCATATTTCATGGGCCGGAGTCAATTCACTTGCAGGAAGTTTCGTGCGCAAGTATATTGGCAACGTCGAAAATACCAGCTTGAGCCCGTTGAGTGTCGTGTAGTTACCCAAAGCTATGAAAGACAGCTTATACGGTAAAAAGCATTGCAGTTGGATCTTATAAAGCATCTTTGAAGATGCTTGGTAGTCGACGTTAATTTGGAAGACAGCTTGTTTCTCTTTACTGAAATTCCTGAGGAATGTGAGTGTCACCTGCTCGCCATGGTTTTCCGTAGTTATCGAATGCCTCTGCAGATTTACGACTCGGTCAATTGATGATGAAACCGTGGGATGTGTGACGCGTTCTGTTTTGATAAATATATCTGAAAAACTCTTGGCAAATAATATAGATTGACGAAGATCTCTCATACGGGATGATATATAGCCATATTCTCTGATACATGCTGAATAATCATTTGACGTGTACGCATCACTATAGTCAAAAAAAAAATCAATTAGCAACCAATATACATGTATGCAACATGAATATAATAAAATATAACGTTACGTGTCTCCAATTGTTCCCCAGTTCGTGCCTCCATATGCTGTATGTATCGATGTCATAGTACATCCTTGAGCAAGAACTGATTCGAATAACAGTTTGGTATAGAAATCACCGAAATATCCAAACATATCATCGAATGTATAGCCAGTTTTGTAATGGTTAGAGCAGCCTCCTTGCAATTCAGGAATGAATATTGGACACTATAAAGTAGTCAGATTGTTAAATAAGCTATCCATTATGCTCAATTATTACTATGCATCATACTTACTCTTGCAGCCTCGCCACCAAAACCACGCACTTTACGTTCAATGCCATCAACACCATTCATAAACATTTGCGGCTTCCATGGTTTCCACATTAGTGACGATTGCTCCTTGCCGGCAGGCGGTACGAGCACTGGGTATTAGAAATTAATGAGACGAGCGTAACGGAAATACACAGCTGATAAGTTTTACGCAAATCTTTATATGGATCTTTACTTCTCCAGTCGGGGTCATTGACTTACCAACATATTTGCTAAATCCGTACAGATCCAATCCGAATTTCTTTCTGTTTCCAAACAACTTTCCAAAAGTTCTGGCAAAGAAATTCTCTTCTTCGTCAGTCCTCGCAATAAAGCTTCCTAGTTCCGTTGAATCGTTATTGAACAGTGGTACATTGATCCCACAATCTCTAGCCACTTTGCATAGGAACCTCATTTCATCATGCAGACCAAATGGAACCCCACACTTGCTCTCAATCAACTTGTTTTCAATCTGCATACCGATCACGCAACCGTCTGGTTTGGTAGTAATCTGATGTTTGGCAATAATAGGGAGTAAAACCTCAAACCATTCTTTTTCGTATGCAGCGAATCGCTCGTCGTATTTTTTATATCCGGTAAAGTCCATATGTCTTACTCGTAAATTCTTATCAAGTAACCAAAGTGGGTATCCTCCTGCCTGAGTCTCGGAACATATATATGGTCCCGGAGCCGCAAGAACGAA